GGACCCCCAGGGCCCGGGAGGAAGCTGGCCAGCTGAGGCCGAGAGGCCCACACGCTCCTGACCGGAAGCTGCCTCCCCGCCCCCGCACCCCGTGACTGTGACCGTGACCGAGGTCAGGAGGCGCTTGCTGGATGCCAGGCCCCAGGGGCTGAGAAACTCTGTGTCCTGAGGGGAAACCGAGGCCGTCCGCCTGACCAGAGGGCAGAAGGGAGAACACCCAGTAAGACCGGGGCCTCTCTCGCTCCCCACCCCTGGTCCGAACATGTCTGGACAGGTCTCAGACCCACCTCATAAACTCCTGGGGTCGCCAGTGCCAGAGGAAAGAGCCTGAAGGTCAGAGTCTGCGAGGACAGAGACTCATTGGCCCCATTCACTCTTAGCTAAACTCTCACACTCAGCGAGTTTCCTGGATGACCTTGGTGTCTCCTTCCAACCCTGGGGTTTTGAAGCATAGGTAGGAGTTCTCCAGGTTTAGTTGCAGGGCTGGGGGTGGTGTTTCCTGGAACAGGAAGGCATGGAGAAAAGTGAGACTGGCTGGGGTCAACAGAAGGAGGAATAGGGGCTCCTGTGCCCATTGGGGAGACTTGTTTTCTCCAGGGGTCCAAGGGGAGCCATGGAGGGTATTAGAGACCCTGGAGTCTGGGACCTGCATCTCTGAGTGAGGTTGGGAGTTCCCAGCCACAGCAAGGAAAACATTCTTTTTTCTTTTCTTCATTTATTTATTTAGAGAAACAATCTCACTATGGCACCCAGGCTGACCTTGAACTCTGAGAGTCTCCTGCCTCAGCCTCCTAAATGCTGAGAGTACAGGTATGCACTACCATGCCTGGCATAAGAGAACTGCATTGAATGGGGCCAAATGCAGCCTTCCCAGGTTCCCCTGGCGTGGGCCACACTGTCCTCAGGACCCTTTCGTCACCCCCACCCCGCCTCACCCAGTGTTTCCCAGCACAGTGGTCATCCCTTTTTTTTTTTTTCTTTTTGGTACCGGGGATTGAACTCGGGTCCTTGCGCTTGCAAGGCAGGCTACCAAGCGCTGAGCTAAATCCCCCGCCCTTTTTGTTTGTTTTTTGAGACAGGGTCTCGTTATGTAATTGAGACTGACCTGGAACTCACTATGTAGCCCAGGCTGGTCTCGAACTCACCGCGATCCTCCTGCCTCAGCCTCCCGAGTGCTGGGATTACAGGCGTGCGCCGCCAGACCTGGCTACAGTGGTCACCTCTTGTTTTCCTTACTCTTGCTGTGATTTGGGACACACCTGCCACCTCCCAGCATTGCTGGGCAGGGAGACACAAGGGACCCCAGGTGACCCTCTGCTCCTTGTGGCCTCTGAAAACTCAGCTGCTACCCGGAGTGCTGTGATGGTTGGCGCACAGGCAGCGGTGGGGGGGGACAGAAGAGATGCCCGGATGTGGTGGGGGTTGGGGGTTCCAGAAGAGGAGAGAAGAACAGCTTGTGGATGGAAGTTCTCTGTAGCAGCTGCATGGATAGGAAAGAGCGCACAGGCACTGACCCTGGCCGTGGTGTATGGGGCCAGACATTCCATGAGCGTTCTGTCATGCTCGGAGTGGCAGGAGGCGGGTGCCTCACACTCACTACCAAGAATGCACTTAGATAACATCTGAGCCCCAAGCTGCTTTGTGGAGCCCTTACCTGCCGTTCCCACCATGGCCTGGGAAGTGCTTACTTGCCACTCTGGTCCTGTGACCTGACCCCCCCTCTGCAATGGGACAGGGTTAGAAGCTCAGAATAAACTGCTTTCCTGCTTTCCTTTAAGGAAAAGTCTTTCTTTCTTTGGTACTAGGGTCCGAACCCAGGCCTTCATGCTGACAAGGTCTTGCTAGGTCAATAAGTTGCCCAGGCTGGGTTTCAACTTGAGACCCTCCTGCCTCAGCCTCCCAGAGTGCTGGATCACAGGTGTGCACCACTGTGCCGGGCCTCAGGGTCCTTATTTTACGTGGACAAATTACTGATCCAGCAACAGCTGTGTGCCAGGCTTCACAGCGGGGGCTGCAAAAGCTGCATCTTGCTGAATTGTCACAGAGGTGGGGAAACCGAGGCTGACAGAGGCAAAGGGAGAACTTGGCCCTTTGGGGCTGCGCAGGGCTCCTGGTGGCTTCTGAAGGTCTCCTCAGGACAGAGGGAAGGCCGGTTCCCACAGTCTTCCAAGAGTGCCACCCAAACCACACTTCACTGTGCCTCCAGCTCCCCACAGTGCTGGCCAACACGTGGGCCCTCGGGCGCATCAAGATGCAGACCGCCACTGGGCAGCCTGTATATTGCCCGTCTCCACATTCCCGAGGCTGAGGCAGGAGGATCACAGGCAGAGTGGGTGACAAGGTCCTGTGGCTGCCGTCTCAGCTGTGGACAGAGGCTGGGACCTGGGGTCCCCTCTGTCTCAGTGCCAAGGCCACACATGGCACCCGTGCAGCCCCTCACGGTGACACACATAGGATGCCAATGTCAAGCGCTTTATTTGCTTTCTGGGGTGCCAGGCTCAGGGTCTCCTAGCCCCTCTGTGCAGGGGCTCCCCACTCGGGTGCTCCAGATCAGCAGCTGGGGTGAAGGAAAAGCCACACAGGGCTCTGGGGACATAAATCACAGTTGCCTTCGGCAGCAAGGGTTTTTCCTAGAGGGTTTCAGTGGGAGTAAAAACCTGAGATGCTGGGGTGCAGACACCGCGGGTCTGCGGGGCAGGTGGAAGGGCAAGGGGCTCCCAGGCTGGGGCACAGTGTGGAGAAGCCCAAGGCAAGGCTGGCTCCTGGTGAAAGAGCTCCTTGAGATGAGGAATGATGCTTCTGTCGCCTCACCTAACGGGGAGGCTGAGGCAGGAGGATCTCAAGTGCCAGGCCAGCCTGGGCAACACGGAGAGATCCACCTCAAGATAAAACTTTTAAAAAGGGCTGGGGAGCAGCTCAGTGGTGAGCACTTTTGGAGCACATGTGAGGTTCGGGGTTCCCTCCCCAGGAACCCCAAACCAATAATGAGAGGTGTCCCCTCCAGTTAGGTAGGACAAAGCCCTTTTCTGCTGCCCACTATGGCCATGCCCACCCAGCAGGCTCAAGGTAGGGGCTGGGGAGGAGCAGAATAGGGCTTTGCGTCTGCCATCCCCCAAGGACTTGTGGGTTCAGGCTCGCAGGCAAGGGGTGGGGAGGTCAAAGGTCACCCACCCCTCCTCCACCCCTGCCCAGTCGCCCCAGAGGACAGTGAGGTGTAAGGGGATGGGGTGCACAGGCTGGCCTGGCTTCCAGCCACAAAGCTCACAGACGAAGGCATCCTGGAGCCAGGCAGGGCGGCGCAGGCCTATGGTTCCAGCAGTCAGGAGGCTGAGGCAGGAGGGCCACAAGTTCAGGCCCAGCCTGGGCAACTAGGTGACTGTGAGATGCCCTGACTCAAAATCAAAAATAAAAAGAGCTGGGCTTCTGCTGCAGCCGCCATTGAAGAGCTGCCCCACGGCTCTGGGCCTCAGTAAGGGCCGCAGGGGACCAAGCAGGCCCAAACAGCACACACGGGCACATCCAGGGCTGTGTGGCTCGGCCCCAGGAGCGGCCATGGAGCTGCTCGGGGTCCCCAGGGTGGCGGGAGGCACAGGCCGGGCTGCCCCAGGGCGGTGCTCTGATTTCCCACGAGTGTCTGGGACGGGGGCGACGAGGCAGGGACCTGGTGACCCGGGAGGCTGAGATGGGTGGGCGGAGTGGACGTAACGGGAGGGGGGCGCAGGAGCTGGATGCGGCCCGCAGCAGGAGATGGCAGCCGCAGCTGCTTCCACGCGGGAAAGGGCTCCTGCTTCCTGCACACGGGCCGCGGGTCTAGGCCGCCCAGGTCAGCCTCAGCGCTGCCCACAGAGTTCAAAGGCGGCAGGAAGCGAGGTAAACCTGGACTCCCGGGAGCCACCCAGAGGTGACCCCAGAGACAGAGTTTCAGAAAGTCCCCGGCTGACCGGCTCTGTGCCCCTCAGGTCCTATGGACCCGGTCTTGGTGGCCGCGCCCTGGGCCAGACCCTGAGGCCCGCCACTCGGGCCAAGGGGGGCCCTGTCCCTAGCTCCAAAACAAAGACGTGAAGTCTGAGGTTCGGTTTTGGGGCCAGAAGGCAAAAGAGGCCACATCTTAGGAAAAAGACACTTTTGTTGTTGGCTAAAGCCAACATTGCAACCAAGGGCGATATAAATTACTGCATCCGAAATGTAGTGCTATTGCTTTGAGAGAGGAGAAACAAAGGAGAAAAGGGACAAGAGAAAAGAAACAAAAGAGCCGGGTGTGGTGGCACACACCTCAGGTCCCAGCATTCAGGAGGCTGAGGCAGGAGGATCCCTGTGAATTTGAGGCCAGCCTGGGTTTTGAGACAGAGTCTCAAACAAAAACAACAACAAAAGAAAAAGAAAACAGGAGAGGGAAGCAAAGGGCCAACCAGCCCTATCGGAAAGCTGGGCCCGTCAGGCTGCCCCTCTCCGGAGGCGTTTTAGGGACTAGGTTCTTGATGCGACTTCACATCAGAGCAGTCAGGGACAGACAGACTCTGGGGCTCTTCCACCAGCCGACTTGGAAAAGCAGATCCTGGGTGGCTCGGTCGTGGCCCCGGCAGGCGCAGACCCGTGCCGATCCAGGCCTGCCAGCCTCTGGCCCTGAGACACTGGGAAAAGGGCGAAAGGTCTCCAGCCGCTCGCTTCACGTCAGCCAGCGCTCTTGCTGAGAAGAGGGGAGAGGACGTGGGAAGCCGATCCGCCGCGGAGGGCTTGTCCCTTCCACCCTGCTCGGAGAGGTGGCGGGCGGCCCGAGGGCCTCAGTGTTCGTGGCAACAGCTGATTTTGCCCTCCGACTGCTCCAGGACGTCCAGCATCTCCTCGATGATGGCCCGCAGCGCCCTGCCCAGCTGGTCTGCGTTGTAGGGCTTGCCCAGCGGGGGCACATGGACGAAGGCCGAGCGGCCGTGGCTCTGGTACAGAGAGGTGTAGTAGGTGAAGTCACAGAGGTACCTAGGCCACGGGAGAGAGCACAAGACGGGGGTCAGAGACGATGCGCAGCGTCCAGTACGGTGTGGATCTCACACGTCCTCCGGAAGTACGGTGACAGCCTGGTCTTCCGGCAGGGGCACTACGGGAGGCCCTGGGGCCTCTAGGAGGCGGGGCTTGGGACGGAAGTGATGTCATCGGGGCGTGGCCTCGCGCGGAGGGAAGGTCCCGCCGGGCTTCTCGCTTGCCTTCTGGCTGCCGTGAGCCGTGGTGCTCCACCCTGATGCTCCGGCTGAGATGCTCAGCCTTGCAGCAGGCCCAAAAGCATGGGGGCAGCTAATCATGGACTGGGACCTCAGAAGTATGAGCCCAAGTCGATCTTTCTTTTCTGTTTGTTTTGAGACAAGGTCCTGCTATGTGGTCCAAGATACCCTTGAACTCGCAGTGATCCTCCTGCCTCAGCCTCCTGAGTGCTGAGATGACAGGCGCGCGCCACCACACTGAGCAAGAGTTGGTATACGGAACCGGGGAACAGGGTGTGTGTCTGTGATCCCAGAAAGCTACAGCCACCGAGAGTGGACACAGACACCAAGGGCTCATACACTCGGCCCCCAAGGGCCGACAGCATGCACGCGTGCCAGCTTGGCAGATGGAGGGGGAAACCTGCTCTTGCCCACCCCACGGGGCTCACCATGCCCTACCTGCCAGCATCCTGCGAGATGGTCACCGACACATCCAGCCCCAGGGTGGTGACCCTCTTGCAGACGGCATCCATGTCGATGATAGAGTCGATGCTTTCTGGCCCGTCCTCCACACAGCACTGGGAGCCGGGGCAGAAGCGGCAGTTGTCCAGTCCCTTGTAGCCCTTGTTGTGCCCACATTTCTCCAGTGTGACCGTGGTTGCCATGCCTGACACCCCAACATGCACCACCAGCTGCAGACCGACAGGGAGGGCTTAGCAAAGCCTGGCTGCCGGGCTGTGGGTGCTCCCGGGCCGAGGAGAGGGCAGCATCTTCACTGGGCTTTGCCTGGGGTTATGGTTTCTGACCTCTTGCTGCTGGAGCAGACCCTGCAGTCACTCTTGCAGAAAGGTTTGCCAAGCAAAACAAACACAAAGGTGTGAAACAAGCAGCACTGTTTGCAATTACAAGAGAACACGGGACAGCTTCGCTGTTCAGGGTGGGGCATGGTGGTTAAGCAAATAAATAACTATGCTGCTGTTAAAATGCCCAAGGCAGCTTAGCGGGAGTGATTGGCAAGACGCACACAGGGTGATTGAAATATACTGTGAATGTTTACATCTTTAGAACGTTACTACAGTAAAGACACGCTGTTATGAATTCCCATCTAAATCCTCCCTTCTGCTCCAGCCATATATCCAGCCACCCTGGCCACTTTCTGCAGCTGACGCCATGTGCCACCCCAGAGCAGGGCGGGTTCACAGGGACATGAGGCTGTCCCCATCCACTTTGTTCACCAGACCTGGGTCAGGTGACTTCTGGCTCTTCCCCAAAGTCACAATGACCACGAACTCCAACATTTGATCCATGCAGGACATCAAGGCAGCCAGGGCAGTGCAGCTAAAGACACACAGGAAAGCCGGGTGTGGTGGCGCACGCCTGTCATCCCAGCACTCGGGAGGCTGAGGCAGGAGGATCGCCGTGAGTTCGAGACCAGCCTGGGCTACACAGTGAGTTCCAGGTGAGTCTCAACTACATAGTGAGACCCTGTCTCAAAAAACAAACAAACAACAGCAACAAAAAAGACACACAGGAAAGAGGACTCCAGAGTGGCTGCAGGAAGTGGTCAGGATGACAGGATGAGTGTGTGTGAAGCAATGGGAACCATTTTGGAGGGGATTCATGGCCGTGTGACTTTTACTGTAAGCGTCTTTAGTTTAGCCATTTGCCACTTGTTTTAATCACACTCCCTATGGCCAAGTGCAAAACTCCAAGTAACTTTCAGGAACCTAGCCTAAAATTTACCAAACGTGTAAGAAAGACAGTCATTTCAGTGTCATTTATGAAAGTGATATTCAAAACCCAAACAGCAAAAGCCCAGAAACAAACATATGTGGTCAATAATTAAACAGTGGCCATGCTAATTACAAAAACTTACCCTGGAAATTATGTTTTTAAATGGAATTTTTTTTTTCTTGGTCCTGGGGATTGAACTTGGATCCTTGCGCTTGCAAGGCAGGCCACCGAACCGCTGAGCTAAGTCCCCGGCCCTTTAAATGTAATTTTGAGAGTAATTTTCTTTGGTCATTAAATGCTCATGGTATAAAAATTTTTTTTTTTCAGTTTTTTGAGACAGGGTCTCACTGTGTAGTTGAGACTGACCTGGAACTCACTATGTAGCCCAGGCTGGTCTTGAACTCACAGCCATCCTCCTGCCTCAGGCTCCCGAGTGCTGGGATGACAGGAGTGCGCCACCATGCCTGGCCTCTATATTTTTTAAAAGCAGGATTCCAAATTGAATAGTTTAACTTCCTTTTGTTTTCTGTGTGTGATTTCACACCATGAACAACTGTGTCAAGATTTAGAATTTAGGCTGGGCTGGGCATGATGCCCCAAACTTGTCATGCCAGCACTTGTGAGGCTGAGGCAGGAGGATCACCCTGGGCTACACAGTGAATTCAAGGCCAGCCTGGACTATATAGGGAGACCCTGTTTCCAAAAAATTTAGATTAAATTAAGTTTGGGCCAGAAGCTGGGCTTTGGCTCAGTGGTTTTATCCCTAACATTAGGGCAGGAGATCTGGCTGTTTGTAAAATGATGTAATCGTCTGGTGACCTCTCTTGGATCGGATCCCACCCTTATGCAACATGTGACTGGAACACACGTTATGTTTTTAACTGCAGGACCACAGTGGAAGGAAAATCGAAGCCACAGAACCAGGACCCCTCTGAAAGCCATGCTGACTCCGGCTGGGCCGGAGAAGCCGGCACCTTAGAACCAAGACTCTGGCTGGGGTGCAGCTCAGCGCTGGCAAGGCACCAGCCTAGCATGGGCGGGGACCCTGGGCTCCAGCCCGGCACCAGTAAAGAACAGAAGCCAGGTGTGGTGGTGCGCGCCTGTCATCCCAGCACTCTGGAGGCTGAGGCAGGAGGATGGCTGTGAGTTTGAGGCCGGCCAGGGCTCCATAGTGAGTTCAAGACCAGCCTGAACTACACAGCTAGACCCTGTTTCAAAAACCAAAACAAAGCAAAAAGCAGAGAGAGAGAGAGAGAGAGAGAGAGAGAGAGAGAGAGAGGAAGAAGAAGAAAAGAAAAACAGCTAAGCATGGCAATGTAGGCCTGTGATCCCAGCACTTGAGGCTGAGGCAGGAGGATCTCAAGTTCAAGCCCAGCCTAGGCAACTGAATGAGACCCTGTCTCAAAATAAAATAAAGCAAAGGCTGGGGACAGGGCTCAGTATGAAGGCCCAGAAACCACCCCAGTGCCACAGGGAAAGACTCACTCACCTGGGGGCTGTGCTTCTCCCAGAGGGCAGGGATGAGCCTCTGGACTGTCTTATACTCCACCGGGATCTCGTACACATGCAGGTCCACGCGGTCCCCCAGCCCCAGCTTCTCCAGCTCCTGGGGGCAGGCAGAGGGTGGCATGGCACTGTCCGGACCCATCCAGGACAGCAGGATCGCCTGCCACCCGCCCTGCAGCTCCCCAGCCCCTCTCGCTCGTGCCTGCCCGGAAGTCGCCTGCTGCTGTCCCCACAGCCACCTGGGTGCGGGCCCTGCCTGTGTGACCCTGGGAAGGACATTTAGCCTCTCAGCCTCAGTTTCCCATCTGTAAGAAGGAATACGAAGAACTTAGCTCCCAGGAGAGGTGGCAGGGACCAAGGCGGCCGGTTAACACTGCGAGTTCCGAGCCCAGCCTGGCACCATGTGAGTGTTCAGATGGTGGTGGCTGCCATTACTGCTCAGGCTGACCTTGAGCTCACAGCGATCCTCCTGCCTCAGCCTACTAAATGCTGGATGACAGGCGTGCACCACCACACCAGGCTTGCTAAGAATTATTTTTAGGCATGGTGCGTGGTTTACACATGCACCCACTCTTCAGGGAGCTCCCAACAATATCAGGGGTGAAGGGCTTTAGGAGAGTCACAGAGGAGGGTAAGGTGCTACATGCCTGTAACCCCAGCACTAAGGAGGCTGAAGCAGGAGGAGCTCCATGAGTTTGAGACCAGCCTGAGCTATACTGTGAGTTCAAAGCCAGCCTAAACTACATAATGAAACCCTGTCTCAAAAGAAACATCAGGCCAGGGATATATCTCATTGGCACTGTGCCTGCCTTGAAAGCCCAACATCCTGAGTCCGATCCCCAGTACCACCAAAAAGTAAATAAATAAAATTAAAAAGTAGGTCCTTGGCTGGTTGCAATGGCACACCTCTGAAATCTAGGAGGCTGAGGCAGGCGTCTCTCAAGTTCAAGCTTAGCCTGCATAGGTCAGTGACTTAGTGAGATCCTGTCGCAAATTAAAATGTAAAAAGGGCTGGGATACAGCTCAGTGGTGACACCTGCCTACCCTGTGCAGAGGCCTGGGTTCCATCCCCAGCTCTACAAAACCAAACAGACAAATAAATCAGGAGGTGGAGCTGATTCAGATGCTGCTCGGGCCCAGCCATGTGACTGACGGGCTGGTGTCTCTTCGCTTCTGAGAACAGGGCACCCCCTGAAGCCACTGTGGACAGGTCCCGCCCACAATTCCTGCCTCCCACCCTGTGACACCAGCAGGGGCCTGGGGGCTTTGCCAGGACCCTGGGCCAGGAACGGACACTGATCAGCTCCTGTGTTGCACACCCAGTGTGTTATAAGCAAGAGAAACCGGACCACGACAGTGACCCCTGGGCTGTTTTTTCTCTTAAAGACAACACAGTGGGCTGGGTATGTAGCTCAGGGGCACAGCGCCTCCCTGACAAGCACCAGGTCCTGGGTTCAATCCCTGGTACCCCGCTCCCAAGTACATATTACGCCATTTGTGGTGGCCTATGCCTGTCATCCTAGCATTCAGGAGGCTGAAGCAGGAGGATCGCCACCAGTTCCAGGCTAGCCTGGACTGCATAGTGAGACCCTGTCTCAAAACATACAAACAAAAAGACAAATCAAAGGACACAAAACCCACAGGCAGTAAGAAAAACTATGGGGAGGAAGCTGAACACGATGAGGCATTCATGTAGTCCCTGTTTCTTGGGAGGCAGAGGCAGGAGGATCACCTCACCCGGGAGTGAAGGCCAGCCTGAGTGACCCAGTGAGATCCCACCTTGGGGGGCAGAAAATGGGGGAGGGGGGCAGGTCAGAGATAAAGATAAAGAACCTGCCTGGCATGGGTGAGGCCCTGGGCTCCACTCCTAGCACCACACAAAAGAACTAGAAAAGGATAAACTGGACTTTACCAAAACTAAAATTATTGAAAAGGAGGCTTTTCCAGGTGTTCCGTGGCCAGACTGCGCCACCTTCTGGACAAAGCGAGAACAGGCAAAGGGCGCAAAGAGCAGGAAGCTGCGGCCCAACTCTGAACCAAGTCAATGTTTCACAAAATCAGAGAGCAAAACAACAGCGCTGGGGCCCCTCGCTGGCCCCGCACGTCCAAGGCCACCCCGGGACCCGCGTCTCGCTGCCAACTGTGCATCTTCATGCTGTTAAAACAGGGAGGAGCCAGCCAGGGCCGGATTTGAAATCATCCAGCTGTGGAATTGCTTTTCTCCAAATATGATGGGAAATCTAAAATCTAAACACTCGCTTTGGTGCCTCCCCACCAAGCCACTCAGTTCGCAGGAACTTTAAATCTGCAACAGACAGGCCACGAGGAAGGACAGGAAAGACCCTGGGCCAGCCAGGGAGGAGGGGATTCCCAGCTGGCTGTGGTGGTGCACTTTGGGAGGCTGAGGCAGGAGGGTCGCAGGTTCAAGCCCAGCCTGGCCTGGGCAACTTGGTGACTTAGTGAGAGCCTGTCTCAAAATAAAAATATAGGGCCGGGGATTTAGCTCTGTGGTTCCAACACCTGCCTGGAAAGCACAAGGTCCTGAGTTCAACCCCCAGCACCATAAATAAATAAATATATATATAAAAAGGACTGGGGGTCAGCTCAGTGTGAAGGCCCTGTGTTCCGCCCCTAGTACTGAGGGGAAAAACAACAGGGAAGACTCACCAGGAAAAGGAGAAGTGGGCAGTCTGTGGAGGAACCCAGACAATCACAGAGTATCTCCACCAGACACTTCGTTTTCTTGCTAACTTATCCAGGCTGAGGTGGAACTATGAATCCTCCTGACTCAGCCTCCCCAGCAGCAGCCATTAGAAAAGGACCACACGGTGGTTCAACACACATGTCCCAGCCATGGGACAGCTAGCAATCTGTAAGTAACGGCTGCCAAGTACAGGGTCCCGAGGCTGCCCAACATGTCAGATTGTGCTCTCTGTGCTGAGTTGGTTTTAGGAAATATGCAGTGTACTATTTAGGGGACAGGGCCGGCTCTTCTGCAGTTCACCCTCATTTGAGGCAGAGAAAAATTCTATCTGCAGAGAAAGACACGTGTAAATAAGTTTTAACACCTAGAGGCTGGCAGGGTGATACACGCCTGTCATCCCAGCACTTGGGAGGCTGAAGCAGGAAGACCATACGAGTTTGAGGCCAGCCTGGGCTACACACCAAGACCCTATCGAAAAAAAGAAAAAAGTCTTGGTACTCTGGGAGTCTGAGGCAGGAGGATGACACGTTTGGGCCCAGCCAGGCAACTTAGTAACTCAGTGAGATCCTGTCTCAAAATTTAAAAAATAACAACAGGGCTAGGAGTGCAGTTCAGTCCAAAGGCCTGGTTTCAACCCCCGGGACCAGTAAAATGGGGTGTGCGGCTCAGTGGTAGAGCAGCCCTGGGGTGCATTCCTAGTATCAAAACCAAAACAAAAAGAGAGAGAGAAGGGGGCCGCTTTCACTTGTTCGGAGCTTCCCGGGGCGTCAATGTAGTGGCACCAACTCAGCGGGAGGAGGCAGTGTGGACACAGAAGCAGCAGCCACCCCAGCAGCCTTTGTGGGCTGCTGAGGCCCGGAGACACCAGCCCCGGGAGCTGCCTGCCTGCTCTGCACTCTGCAATGCTGGGGTGTCCCCCACACTGGAGAGGAGCTGGGGTCCGGATCTAGTCACAGGTGGAGTGGCTTTATTCATTTATTTATATTTTTGAGGTGGGGTCTCACTATGGAGCCCAGGCTGGCCTCGAACTCGAGGCGCTCCTCCTGTCTCAGCCTCCTGACAGCTGGGATGACAGGCGTGAGCTCCCACACCTGGTTTTGCATCCATTTTTTAAAGGGGCAGCCGGGTGGGAAGGGCCAGAAAGCACAGTGGAACAGTGAGGAGGCGGTGGGTGTCATCTGGCTCTGCGTTTTGCCCGAGTTTCAGCAGCACAAGGGACCTTGGGGAGGGGTGCGGGGCACCTCAAGTCCTGCCCCGTGGGCCGGCGCCCCAGTGCATGCAGCCCCCAACCCACTACCTGACCAGACCCGCACCCGCGCCCAACTGGCTCCCGTGACCTCACCACAAAGGCCCTCTTTGTCTGCTTGTAATACCCCTGGCAGGTCTAGACGGGCTGTGTGTAATTGTCCAGGACGACACCGCGCTCCTGACCTGCTCGGCTGGGACTGCTGCCCACAGCTGAGCCCCAGGGCCCCCGGCTTCCACACCCACTGGGCCAGGCCACCCACTGGGACCGGGGCCACAACACAGGGGGGACGGGGTGCTGGGAAAAACAGAAGGGGACTCCCGCTCCGCCACCCCACGGCTCTGCCTCCCCAGCGTGGGGACAAGTTCTCCCAGGACACGGGAAGGGACAGCGGAGAGAGAAGCACCAGGAGAGGCAGTGGAAAAGACCGAGGTGCAGGGCCAGGTGGGGTGGCGTTCGCCTGTTGTCCCCAGCTACTCAGGAGGCTGAGGCAGGAGGATCGCTGTGCGTTCCAGGCCAGCCTGGGCTACATAGGGAGAGTCGGTTGCACAAACCAAACCAAAGAAACAAGAACTTCCGACAAGAGAATTCTCAGCAGGTACCTTTGGACTCTAGAGTGTTTTGTTTTTAAAGGGAAAGGACTGGATGGGGAACAGCTGAGCACCTTTTCACCCCAGGCCCAGTCAGGACTTTTCTTGCACCACCACTGTCAGGAAAGAGCAGGAAAAAGACACATGGGTTGGAGCTGAGGGGCACCGGGTGGAGGAGAAACCGCCAGCCTCTGCCAGTCTCTGCCGGCCACTGCCCGGGCCCCAAAGCTCTGAGGATTTCCAAAGATTGTTTAATTGATTTTTCTCCTATTTACATGCAGATGCAGCGTCTGGGGCCCAGGAATTCAGACGCTCTGCTTTGTGTCCCTGAGCCCCGTGAAGGCTCCTGTCTGAAACTCCACAAAGCCGGACACCGGAGTCTGCAGAGACATGCTGTTTCTTTTTGTCTGCGGCTCGGGCCGGGCAGGGACAGGGTCCCATCTGTGGGTCCCCACCCGGCCCTCTCGCCACTCCGACGACACTGACGAACTGGAAAAACCCAGGGGCGGGCGCTCTGAGGCC